ATTACATCACGCTCGTGCGCCTGAATCTCCTGACGGTTGGGAAACAAATACAATTTCGTTACTCTTTTCTGTTTCAGTTAGTTCTGGCCTTGCAACATCGTTTCGTAATTTACCCCCAGCTGTGCTTAACAGATACCTACAATTTACCCAATGAGAAAACGTAACACGATCGACTTATCGTCTCTATTTATTTTGGGGTGTATTAAGGCAACGGTAAACTTTAGTAACCTTGATAAGATCATTTGTAATAGAATAAATACATACTAATATTAATAAATGTGAAAGTGTGTTTGTTTATCCATTTTTCACGTCAAAACGGAGCGTATTTTTTTATATAGAGATATTTGAAGGACTGGAGAGTGACATAGGCTACTTTTTGTACCTTTCTCACTAGCCTAAAAGAGGCGGTCGAAGTTTGGTCCGAGCATTCCATAAATTTGAAGGCATAAAATTAAAAGTTACGAATAATATGTGCATCATTTTTTTTGGAAATCTGCCCCCACTCCTTTATGAGGGGGTGAAAGGGGGTGCATTCCACTTTCGGCAGTGTTTAAAGTAGAAAGCCATAAATTGGTATGTAGTTTATTTTTTACTTGAGAAAACTACGTTTATCCTTTTTTTTTAAATCTGCCCTCAACCCCTTATACAAAAAGAGAGGTGAAAGAAGGTGACCATGAAAACTGTTGAAATTCCCGTACATACTAGTACGGGAATTTCTGTAAATAGCTGAAAATTGGTATACACTCTGTTTGTTACAAACGAAAAATGCAAGCTTCAAAATACTGTCACCGCCGTGTAAACATAAAAATTAAATTCATTTCAATCAGTTACTACTAGTATCCCAGTCATCATTTTAGCTTCTATGACAACCCTAGCATATGGTCATATGGTTTTTTATTGTTTTTAGTTATATACAAAAATGTTTCGCTTTCATTTTATTTGATCACGTAAATATGTTTTATTGATTTTTTTCTGTTATTTGAAACTCAGGCCAATAAGCCGTCTTATGAAAAATAAGTTTTTCTAGATCTCACTACATTACGTAAAGTAATCGGTAAAAGTACATACCTGACGATCATATAACCTCCTCCTTTTAAATTTTTTTAAGATCGGTTTTTAAAATGTGGTCATCATTTCACCAATTACAATCATTTCAATAAGCAATCACAATATTTCTGTAACCATAAACTAATTACTATTACGCAATGATGTATTAAAAAGCTTTTACATTCATATTTTGGAAATTAATTTTAATTTTCAAAACCCTCTTAACGTAACCAAAAGACACATAAACATAACCGAAAATAAAATAGGTTCAGTCACGTCCTTTTTACACGTCATATTAAATAACTAACCTTGTACATAAAACCGTCAAATTGCTCCACTTGCTATTAAACTTAAATAAATGCGTGTAAAAGTAGAGTTTAAACCAATCGCAAAAAGATATCATGTGGGACTTTTAAGTTTGGGTTAGATGTTAAAGGCTGCGCTACGATTTCCTGAGCTCTTAACTAACTATTTTAGTTTACGACACAATAAAAATAAATAAAAAATTAAAACACACGTCTGCATCATTAACCACACCCGGCTCTACCGCATATACCTATCTACATCGTCTTTAGGCTATCAAACGTTTACTGACCAATATAACTGATCTGTACAACCCTAAACTAATCGTAATTAGTCAAATTGATCAATCACGGATTCGTTTTGACGTTTGAAAGCCGAAGCACGAAGTTCGGATAGCAGTAGGTCCGATCAACTTTATCAATAAATAATCTGAAATAAAAATAAATCCGAAAACCCACATCGTAAGGAGATTATACTCTGTAAATTATACCTATAATCTAAGATAGTATCTATTTTATCTTCACAAATCCCAAAAAATTAAATAGCTCATAATAGCGAAAGGTCCTGTATTTTTAAAAACATATAAAATATTTATAATATTATAAGTTTGACAATTTAATAAAACATAGTAATTATATATTTATTCATCAGTAGTGTGTGGCATGGCATAACCTCCCTGTTAGGGTTGAACAACATCACCAGCCTCTGTCCTCACTACTGGGCCACAAGCCATTCCTATGTATGGAACCAAATAGGAGATTGGGCCATAACCCATCACACGGCCCAGCCTCTGAAACACGGCGGAACTCGAGATAATTTATCACCAATTTTTTCAAAGTTTTAAGAAAATTGCTTTTTTTCACTTTTTTGGTAACCATTCATTTACAAAAGAGAGTTTTACAATCTACTTCTTGTTTATTGATCTTCAGCAAATGTGTTATTAGGTAAATATTACATAATATGTTTATTGGGCATGTTCGATATTTTTATATGATCGCAAATTATTATGGTGTATGACTTTAAATTATTTTTTCAGTCTCGTAATAAACCCTTTATTCAATCTTCTCTATGTAATAAACAAACTCTGGCAGGACCTCACGAGACTGTCGCGCCATCTGGTGAGCGAAAAAACGTTAGCCCTCAATAAGTGATCCGGTGGGCCTGATCCGGCCCGCTCTATGATTTGATCCGGCCTGCGAGACATTTTGAAAACCTAATTTAAAAAAACATTGTGTGGTTTTAAGAAGACGCAAGTGTGACTTTTATTGGATTATAGACGTTCAACTGAGAATGTTTTCGAAAAATCAATCGATATATCACAATCGCATTTTTCACCTTAACCCACGTAACATAATGATTGGAGAATGACAATAGGAAATCAATAGCAGACAAGATATCTAATTTTGAATTTTTATTTCAAATCGCAGGGAATATATCGTAGATAGAATTATTAAGATAATAGACACCTGTTACACATGTTAAAAATTAATGTGTAACACATAACGTCTAAACATAAATTTTAAATTTGCATGTATATATAAAATTAAAAATTCAAGTAGTTACAGATATTAGCAGTTTTGGATTGAATACAATTTGAAGTAAAAATCTAAACTTAATCCTATATTGATTAAGGAGATTTAAAGAATATATTTAAAAATATATAATAAATCATAAATACTAAAGTATCAAAATACATTATCGAAAATTATTATAAAAATCATAATCCTAGTTTGAATAAGGAAATTAATAAGTATACAATAGTAATACCGCTGTCTCTAGGTATGTATAGTAAATTTAAAAAAAATAAGTATCTAAATACACTGTTGAAACTAGTAAATTCAAATAGGGAATGAACTTGTATTATCATATTGCAAAATAAAAACCTGTTTCGACGATCATCAAAAAGTGAGGCGGCAAACATCGAAGACTTTGATGTTTGCCGCCTCACTTTTTGATGATCAGCGGCGAAACAAAAGATTATTTCTTTTCAACTGTTCTACACTAGACTATTCCAGATCTTTCCTTCATTTTGCCTATATAAGCGGGTGGATGGCCCGAACTTTAGTTCAGTTCTATTTCAGCTACCGAGTTATCACCTTCCACGAGCGATATCTTAGAGAACTGCTAGTGCCGTCTATTTGCTTTGTGACTTTGTGAACATCTTGAATTCTTACTAATTATATTTTGTATACGAAAATGATATATGGTGGAAAAAAACTAAAAGTAGATGCAGAGGGTCGCCAGTTGCAAGAAAAATAGACCGAAGATTCATTTTTATCCCGCACGATGGTAATCCTATTTATTTGCTGTGTAATGAATCCATTTCAGTGATGAAAGAATTGAATACTCAGCTAAACATCCCACGCTGCACTCACTGACAGGAGAAATATGAAATGACAAAATCCAGAAGCTTACCGCAAATTTAGAAAAGCAGCAGCAAATGTTTCATAAACAAAGAACACTGCTTGATAATGTTGTGAAAACCATTTTTATATTTAGTTCAAAATTGGCAAAGTTATTAAAATCATGTTCTTAAGGCGAATTTATCAAGGAGTGTATGTTAGAATTTTGCAGTGTTTTGTGTCCTAAAAAGAAAAATGAATTTGAAAAAATTTGTTTGTCAAGACGAACTGTTGTCCGATGTATAGAAATGATGGCTAATGATATAAAAATAACATTGACTGACCGTATGGCTGGTTTTGAATCATTTTCCATGGCATTAGACGATAGCACCGATTTATTGGACACAGCTCAACTGGCTATATTTATTCGAAGTGTTGATAGAGTTCACTGTTACTGAGGAATTGCTTGCTTTAGAGTCGCTAAAAGGAACTACTACAGGAGAGGACACTTTTAATGAAGTTCAAAAGGTATTTACAAGTTTTGCCTTGCCAAAAGTTCGTACGCGTATGTATGTAGCCCACTAATAATTTTTATTATTATTTAAAAAAATAGAAAAAATATCTGAATTTTAAGCAGAAAAAGCAGGCACGTCCCCAATATTAATTAAAATAATTATTTTTTGCGTCAATAAAACGTGTTTATAAATGATAAAAACATAGTTTTAAGGAAAAGACTCATAAATTTAAAAAGTTCAAAACCACATTACGGAGTCTTGATATTGAAAATCAGAACACTATCAAATCATTATGATAAACTTTGAAATATAAATGTTTGCAAAATTGTTATGAAACCGGATTCGCTGATATGGAATGGATGCACGGTTTTCGTCAAAAAAATAGTTTGACTTTAAACCTGTTATTTAGTTTATTACATCGTTGATATGTTTAAGATCAATGAAAACGATTTTTCAATTAATTTGTTGTTTTACTTAATATATAGGAAGCTACCATACTGTCTGAATGTTCTCCTGCCCATATACGATTGTACCCCGTGTAACAAGCTTGGCCATTGAGTATATACCTTTTACAGAGGAGTATGGTTCAGCTCTTGTTGGTTTAAAATAAAGAGCAGCAAATACACTCTATGAGCGACAGTAACGCGTCTCCCTCCACGCAAGCGGCACACGGCAAGTGCGGCTCTCTGCGCCTCTAGTCGATGCTTAGCTTTATAGTAGTTATATTAAATGGCAACATGAAACAAATGTCATCTTGACACTGACAACAAATACAAAACGTAATTACACGAGCAAACGAGGGGTTAACTTGCTTGCATGAGGGCTCCGTGATTAATTGTTTTGTTAATTTAAAACAATGGCTGCTGTAAAAACTGTAGATGAAATTAATGCAGACGAGGTGATTGAAAATGGTGAGGAAGAAGAGTTAGACGTGGCCGATGAAGGCGAGACAAAAGATCCCGCCAAGAAGAAGAAAAAGAAAAAAAAGAAGAAGAAGACAGGTTAGATTTCTAACCACACTTTGCATTTATCATCTCCTTTTTCATTAATTGGTTACTTCTTACAAACAATCAATCCATTTAACATTTTTTCCATGACAAAGGAAATAGAGGAGGGAACAAAAACACTAATTCCAATGGTTATGTTATTATCAATAAAATATATAGTCTACCTAAAACAAAAATATGTTTTTTTATGGTTTTGTCGCTGCAATTTTGAAAGATGGTACAAACAAATAATTATTTTATCAAAAACGGCTATCAACTTTGTGTAATATAATTATAAATAATTCCTCAAAAATGTAAGTTTCTACCTAGAATTTGATATTTATATCCAAGGTAAGGTAGTTAGTATATCTGTTATATAACAAAATCCTTATCCTTTAAACAAACTGAGCAAAATACTGAATTGTGGCAAAATCCCCATGGATAAAGTGTTATGATTCCATTAATGTTTGTTAGAAGTTAGAAATGTTTCAAAATGTAGCATATTCAGTTATTAGTGACAGGGTGGTGTTGTTTCCACCAAATATGTATGTGCATAGATTCTACATATTCATTAAGCATTACCACTGCAATATTTTTGATAACAATGTTTTGTACAGTGAACAGCATGTCAGGTTATTCAAATCTGCCCAATTTGACATTGTGACAACCTGGGGTGCTGCTTTTTGTACATTCTTACAGTATGACATGGGAATAGATCGATTTTTGATAAATCAATCTTAATGTTATCGATTTTTTACTTTAGATTAGAAACCCTATTTTATAAAGAAACATGTTATTGTGAAGGTTGGTTACTTTTTTTGCCTCTTAATTCTAAATCAATGAAGTTCAGGTTAATGTTTCTTTTAAGTTACAATTTCACTGGTGCATGTACGCTTTGGTAAGCATAATGAGAGCAAGACTTTTGTTGTCAATTATTCATATTGTTGAATAATCCACTGATAAAGCTGCATAAATAATTTGTTAGGGACATATACTCCACAGGACCACAGATTGACCACTGTAAATAAATTATTTATTTATAACTTAAATTCATATCTTTTCAGCTGATACTGAAACAACTGGTGATGAAAATCCTGAGGTAAATAATGTATCAGAAAAAGTTGCCACAGCTACCATTGAAGATACTGCAGAAGGAGATGCAGCAAAAAAGAAAAAGAAGAAAAATAAGAATAAAAGCAAAACTCCTGGCAAAGAGCAAACCAATCCACCTACAATACCAATTGCGGAATTGTATCCTGATAGTAAGATTAATAATTTATTGAATATTGTGGACATGAAATGTTTTTCAATTAGAGTAAGAGATTTTCACTGGCACTGTATTGTGATCTGCTTTCATTTATATTACAATAAATAGAAATCAAGATATTGTATAAGGTTCCAGATATACAGAGTTATTGATAAAATACCAGAAACTGCAGTACGAAGTGGCTAATATAATAACAAACTATTTTTAAAGTTTTGTCATACTGTATTGATATTTATATGTCTATGCCATAGGCATGTACATATCACTACAACACCTACGATTAAACATAAACTAGGGCATAGACTCTGCCCCTGTTCACGTTAACTCTTGTGCACGGTCACTTAAATATCAAATATTTGATGTTGTTATTTGTGTTCATTTGGAGCGCTTAATTCATTTGGGGTGTCAAGTTCTTTTTAGAACCTCACATCCTGTAAAATAGCTCAACTCTGCGATCTATGTGGAGACGATCTCGTCCGTATAATATGTGAATAATCTATCTAAATATTCACGTCGTATTATTGGCCGGGTAGGCAGTGAGGACTGATTTGAATTTAAACAATCGCTACGTCTTATTCGTCTAAACGACGACGTCCCGATAGCATGTTGTGTAGTATCTCCATATTTGTGTTGTACATCAACAGTCGAGTAAATAAATTCTATATTTTTATTTCTGTATGAAAGCAAATTTAACAAATTACCAAACATCATACATAGATAAAGCATTGTTACATTGAGCTATGTAGTTCCGCGAATTTGCTGATGTTTTCTTAATAACCCTGTATATGTATGAGTCATAATAACGGATTAAAAATTAGTTGTACAATTTATATTAAATCAGAATATTATAGCTCTAACTGACCTGTTGACATAACATTTGTTATTTTACAGACAACTTCCCTGAAGGTCAGATTATGGAGCACGGGCCAGCTGAAGGTATTGATGAAAGAACTGCTAAAGATCGCTTCTCCAGTGAAGAGAAGAGAGCCTTGGACAGAATGCAACAAGACATCTACCAGGAAATCAGGCATGCTGCTGAAGCACATAGACAGGTTAAATACAAAAATAATATTTTAAAACTATTTAAATAAATTTGAGTACAGTTATAAAAATTATAAATTATTTTTAGACCCGTAAATACATGCGAGATTGGATTAAACCGGGCATGACGATGATACAAATATGTGAAGAATTGGAGTCTACTGCTAGACGTTTGATTGGAGAGGACGGTCTTAAGGCAGGACTAGCCTTCCCTACTGGTTGCAGTCGCAATCATTGTGCTGCTCATTATACACCTAATACAGGTATAAGATGTACTAATTTATTGAACACAAGCTTTCCGCCAGCAGCTGCGCCCACATGGTTTTCTATTATACATAAAAACCTTTATTTTGAATCTATTAAAAAAGTATCAAGATCTGTTGCGTATTTTTTAAGATCTAAGCATATTAATTAGTTTTTGGATAATTATCTCATAAATATCTGATAATTATCACTCCGAACCTTTGGAAAGACAGATGGAAAGCGACTTTATTTTATACTATGCATTGATAATTCATATTGCCTTACTCAGAATATAAATTTTATTAGAATACATAAATAGAATATCAATTCTACCTAGATTGTGTCAAAGAATATCAAATAAAACAATCTAAAGGTCATCTATAACAACAGCAAGCAGGTGAAATTTGATTTTCACCTTGAAAATTAATTCATGAAAAATAAATAAATAGAAAATGACAACTGACATAAGAGTCTGACGAATCGGCGCGTACATGTCAGCTATAGTTAATTTTTTCCTTTCTTTCGCCTCCTTTGGCGCCAGTTTGATAGTTGTGTGGTTATCTTCATAGTTACCTTCCAATTACACATATTTATTTATATAGCATTTTAGTACCTCCTAAATAAACAGTTTTAACATAAATTTTTAACTATAAGCTCAGGCTTTATTTTATTAAAGAATAATGTTCACTCTCCATAAAAGCATTAACCTGGCAAATGCATTTTTTTTATTAGTCCCATCGAATTAAATAAAAACCAATGACATTAATTAAAAACAAAAAATAATAAAAGTGAGAAGTCAGCAATTTTTTTAGCAGATGGTAGTTAACATTACTAAATTAATAAAATATATAGAAACATATTTTGCCTCATTATTACTCATGGCTGTTTATTTTTATTCAACATCTTCCCTAACAATGACATCATTTAAAAATGCAGTTGTTTTAGTTTTGTGCCCATCCTAAAATACCAAACTATAGACTTAACATGGACAAAACAGCCAAGAGTTTGTCGTCTCACCAATTAACTGCAGCAGTATTGTACAGTCTTCTCTCCCATGGATATTACTTTCAATTAAAATATAAACATAATATTACCATCGGCCAATATGACGCGACTTAATTTTACCCCTCCTCTTAAGGTATATTCACTGCCTCCCCTAAGATTATATTCTGTGACTTTAATAGTTTCTCTATCAACTTCGATTAATCTGTGCACCCCGGGAACGTACATGCTTGACTATGCACGTGCATAATAGGACCTAGCTAGTCTAGCTAGACGTGATTGATATTTTCCCAAGGAAATCACGTCCACATTGGCTGTCATACTGATAAATAAGGGTGTCCTTCAATTAAAGTCTTTTCTTTCTTCTTTTATTAATGGCTTGTCACCGCATTCGCACATTTTTTTCGCAAATAAATGAAAGATGGCGATATTCTTCTCAATTAAATTCAAAATCGTCTGCATATCTTGATAGATTGTTTTATAAGAACGTCCTCTCTCGTGACATTTAAGATTTGCTCAACATCAACCCTATTATTTCAATAGTTTAACCAACTCAAGATTTGGCAGTATTGCAAAGTTCTTTCGTCTGTCCCAATGAACAAAACACTCTAAAGCTCTCAGACAAATGTCATAATGAAAGAGTTTCGTTTGATCTTCTTCAATTTTAATTGTATAAAAATGTTAAAATCTGTAATCAGTCCTTCTCAATTAACTAAAACTTCAAATATAATAATACAACTATGAGTGTTGTAAGATTAATTAACTTGGAAGTAACGAAAACAATAGATTTTTCTTAAAATGAGGAGTGACGACGCATAGACTTCTCAGTGACTATCATTACCGGAGCGGTTTTATAAAAGTCGCGTTCAAGTATAGAATATTAGAACTCAAGTTTTTTTTAAATATTTTTGTTTATTTCTTCATTATAATTTTTTGTGAATTTTACGCGATATATTACTTCACTCATCATTATCATTACCAGCCCTTTTACGTCCCACTGCAGGGGCTCAGGCCTTCCTTATGGATGGTTAAGGAGGATGGGCCATGACCTTCCACGCTGGCCCAATGCGGATTGGAGGGTATTAACGACTGCAAATGCAGCCGGGACCAACGGCTTCACGTGCCTTCCGAAGCACGGAGTAGCTCGAGATATTAATTTTTTTTGGTCACCCATCCCGTGACCGACCCTTGCGAAAGTTGCTTAACGACAAAGATCGCGGGCCGCGGCGCTTATCCACTACGCCACCGAGCTACTTCACTATACACGACGATTGCTTATCTCGATATTGACAGGTCTGAATTGAACGTTCTTCTTTATTGAGTTTTTATATTTTTTCATCAGCTTTAAGTTTTTCAAAAACTGTAACTTAGAAAAAAACACAATTTTTTTTTCATCATAGGTGATACCACGGTCCTGGAATACGACGACGTGGTAAAAATTGATTTTGGCACACACATCAATGGTCGCATTATTGACTGTGCCTTTACCCTCCACTTCAATCCTCGCTATGATCCGTTAGTGAAGGGCGTGCAAGAGGCTACAGAAGCCGGCATTAAGGCATCCGGAGTGGACGCCAGACTTTGCGACGTCGGTGCTGCCGTACAAGAGGTAAAAGGATTTTTTTTTTCAAAAAAAAAATACGATATTGTAGAGTAAAGAGTATAATGGCGTCAGTTTATTTTGTTACATTTATATTGTTTATAGTGATGTTATTTTGCTAGTTGGAGTACTTAATTTCGTCCATTTTCTTTTACTGTGAATACTGTATATCGATTTATCTATGAGTATATATGACTCGGCAACCAGCATATTAATCACTTATCGAAAAAAAAATTGTGACTTTATAGTCTAATGATGTCACTTTCCAATAAGACTTTTAAATATGTAATAAAAAGGGAGATAAAAGCAGCCATCGCTGAGTTGATATTGTAAGAATTCTGCTCTCTCACAGGTGATGGAGTCGCATGAAGTTGAATTAGATGGTAAAGTCTACCAAGTGAAACCCATCAGAAATCTTAATGGTCATTCTATTGGACCGTATCGTAAGTATACTTGTTTATATGGTAACAGTCTCGGTATTATATCTAATATAGAACTATGTCAATAAAAAATGTGAATAATTGCAAAAAAAATGTTTGAGTCAGAGTAGCTATCTCAGACATTTTACTGCCCTCTAGAAAATAACTCTTCAATCGATCCATATTTCGTAATTAAAAATATATCTAATTTTCTGTAAATATAAATTTTATTAATATACATAAAAATAAGTCAAAAACACATAATTTCACGAAAAATAACATTAAAATAAACATATTATTCGGATTTTAGTCATAAAATCGCATGATTATCTTAAAATTCGCGATTTCTAATTTTCAAGTGTGTGTCACGTGACTTGAAACACGACCCGGCTTTCCTAGATGACGCTGTTCTTAGCTTATATATGTTTATTTCCTAGTTGAGCGTTAGATGGCGCTGTTGTTGTTTTATTGACATCTTTAAATCTTCTACTCTATACATCTGTTTTGTGTACACACACACAGAGAGAGAGAGAGAATATCAGAACACCAGTACTGCTGCGATGTCATAGTCGTAGCAGTATATGCTGAGACATGTTCTCGGTTGGCCCTCCAAACACAAAATTCCATTTGTTTTTTTTATATCTCGTTAATGTTAAACATGTATTTGATCAATATGCGAGCGAATAATACCTATAATTAAATGTCAGGCATCCACGCGGGAAAGACTGTGCCGATAGTGAAGGGAGGTGAGACAACTCGTATGGAAGAGAATGAGTTTTACGCCATCGAAACATTTGGATCTACTGGTCGCGGGCAAGTGCACGACGATATGGACTGCTCTCACTATATGAAGAATTTCGATCAGCAATTCGTGCCACTAAGGTAAATTAAACAGATTTTATTGCAGATTTCGTTTGCTGTATTACATAGATGTTAGATATGCACCGAATAATGATTTCACTGAACAACCGAATGCCGAATTATTCGGTTTACTGTTTCATTGTTTTTGTTTAGTTAAAGTATTTCTCAGTCAAATACAAATGGTATAGTCAGAAATAAGAAGAAAAAAAAAATTACAAGTTTATGCATACTATATGCGAAAAGACTTTTCCCCAACCTAATATGAAAGTAAACAAGTAATTTAAAAGATTAAATTATTATATTATAACACAAGAGTGTTTATCGAGAGAAACTGTTGTTAGTAATAAACTCTAATAACTTAAATATTTTAATTTTAATATCTATTTCACCCAATGATGTCATTGTAAAAAACGTAATTTTTATATCTTATTTTATCTATACAATAAATTTGTTTACATCGAATGGATGTATCGATCGATAGGATACGCAGATGCATACATAGCTAAATTATAGCTAGTTACGCATAAGCCGCTTCACCACCTACTTTAAATTTCAAAATTTTTCCACAGACTGCAGTCATCAAAGCAATTGTTGAATTTGATCAACAAGAACTTCGGTACTTTAGCGTTTTGTAAGCGATGGTTGGAACGCGCGGGCGCTTCACGTTACGCGATGGCATTGAAAGATCTATGCGATAAAGGGGTTGTTGATCCGTACCCTCCTCTATGCGATATAAAGGGCTGTTATACGGCACAGTTCGAGCATACTATATTACTTCGGCCCACATGCAAAGAAGTAATTTCCCGCGGCGATGATTACTAGCATCAATCGGACGCGAACGACAATACGAATGAAATTAAAACGCTACTGCTGGAAGACTTCTATTATTTGAGGGTCGTTGCAACATCAAGGGTTATGGCATGACATTTCAAACACCTCCTATTGTGGAGGCGCAGATGGATAATTGAACGAACGCGCCGCGCCATTTAATAAATAAAAAAGAAAAAAAAATTGACGGAAAAGAGCATTAGATTTTTTATTTTCTGTGAAAACTTTCACTGCAGAACGGCTGTCTGATGCACCACAGACCAAAGAATTCAAAATTATACTTTTAAGTGGGTGATAGACGTGTGAGTAAATACGTGAACTAGTGGCTCGATGACATCTTTCGCTTGTGTGTCACCTTAAGTACACGTACTTTCCGTACCTAAAAAGGTCGTCGATCCACTAGTTCGTGTACTTACTCGCACGTCTATACGTACTTTAGAGTGAAAAAAACACCGTTTTTTCAGATATTATTGCTATACAACTTCATTAACAACACTAAATACTCGAATTGTTAATACATTATACAGATAAAAGTAATTTGTACAATCTACCTGCTAACTTTTTTCTAGATAATTACGAATAGAAAATATTTTTTGGTAAATTCTTTGTAGCTTTTTTAAATTTCCCGTGGAGTTTGATAGAAAGCCATCTGGTGGGTCAACTTTTATAAACATATTTTCTATTTGCAATTACTTGGATTAAATTACATATATATTAGTGTGTTGGTCCCTAAATAAAAAAATGGTATAGTTTTGACATATTTCTTATGTCCTTTGAAATCATTAGAATATATTTTAAATGTGTTGCGCTTATGAAATAATTTGAAAGTTGACAATGGATATGTTATTCCGTACATTTAATCCTCTCTATAATGATTTGTTTTTCTTTCAGTATGTCTATCGTTGTAGCTTTGTAGTGCTAGTTTTGGTGCGGTTTGTTTATAATATTGTTGTTGTAAGTTTTTTACTAATATTGTGGCATATTTTCAGTAATATTTATACAAGGTGACCCAACAAAGTTAATTTAAGAAATGAACAGTCATATTTGATCAGTAAATTCGTTAATGTCCATATGAACCAACATGTCTTAAAATATACTCCAATACATACTCTTCTTAAAATATTTTGTGATAGGTTTTACAAGGTAGCACAAACTTACAAAATAAGCTAAGAGTATGAACAATCATAATAACGTATAAATTTATTAGCTACCTTTTGAACTCCACGAAATACTCATCACTGGCCTTGTTCGCTTCATATAAAACTAAGTTGGTTTTTTTTTAAGGACGATGCATATTTGACGGAAAATCCGTCGCGTAACGTCATAACTAATATTATGGAATTTTAAAGGCTTTCTTAATTAAAAGGGAAATCCAACACTTTCTTACAGTACATCTACTTCAGATATCCCCAAAACGAAGGATACGTTACTGATGATGACAGTAAACGTGATAAGAAACGGAAATTTAAATGAAATAAGGAATGTCAAAGTTGTCATTTTTATATACATTTGACTTACCGTACAACCTCTTTTTTTGAGTCACCATCTGTATGAAATATTCAACACAGACTAAAACTATGCTTAAACATGATAAAATCATGTTAGTTTGATACTTTATCAAGGATAATGTTTTATTTTCTATATAGAATTGTAAGTCATGTTTGTAATTTTTGCGAAATATTATAGCTTAACCACACGATGAATAGGAGTACCGCCATAGAGCTATTGTACCAGAGTAGGGAAAACATACCTGTATGTAAAGAGAGGAAAGGTCGCGTTGTCTTTCTGTGTTTTTCAAATAATAAACAAATCAATTTGAATATCGAATATTAATTTTGTAATGAAATTTAATTCGACAGGTGAGACAACACGATCTTCTCTCTCTTACTAATCTTGCAACGTCTTGTGACCTTGGCTTACGTACTCTTAATACAAAAGCTCAATGGGTACCGGCCACGATTTCTATTGAAATACATAGCTTTGTCAACAGTGTGGTTATCGCTCTAATAGTAAACCGCCAGCAATATTTTGTTACTAAATAATTAATAATAACATTATAATAATGTGATACGTCGATATTACAAATTTTGTCAATAAATAGGAGATACGAAAGAAAGTAAGTGTATTTATTGTATCCTCTGAACGTAAACGTAAATATTTTCAAGTTATTATTATCTTATTATGACTGGTAATTAGGGATGCGCAGTCTGGGAATAAAAACAAAACAGTTTACTTGGAACTTTTAATTTTTAGAAAAACACTATTTTGATAACTACTTCACAAATCGGTGTAAACACGTAAGTACATTTCGTTATTTCAGATTAGCGTTTCTTAATCTAACGTCGCGACCCAAAATGGAGACCCGGGTGGTTAGAATAAAGCATGAGTATTTTCAAACCACGAACTTTTTATTAAACTCATTATTTTACTAACAGTGACATCAATAAATCAGTCACGTTCCCGGGCGTCAATTATATGTATATTTTAGGTCGCTAGCCAATCAAATAAAGTATCACTGTTTTAGATATTGCCAACTGGTACAAAATCGTTTGTTTATAACATGTTTTCAACTAAGTGTAAAATATTAAGATGATACAAGCGCATTCAAATAACATACAACATTAGCATCAATCATATTATATTACAAGTTGGTTTTGATCTTACAAAAAATAGGTTCTCGATCAACTTGCTTAACTAAAATTTTTTAATTCAAATTATGAAAAAGAATTTACTTTACAGAACACAATGTTCATACCGGGTAGGTACCTATTGGCTAGTCTATAAATTGTTCGTTTCTGCAAAATACAGATCATACAATATAACGTTAAATTATTTCAGATTCTTCTATTGTTTGAGACACGTTTCTGAGTGGCCGGTGTGTAGTTCAGTTTATTATATTTAAAGTGCCATAATTCCATAGTCGATGATATAACATACACCTACTATACTGCGCTTGGTAAACAAAAATGAACACCTCACTAGCGTTACACAATTCAATATCTATACAATAAATATCTACATGTACAACACGACTAAATCTATTATAAATATTGTATAAAAGTTATAATATGCCTTAATATGGTAAATTCACCTTACTGGGAAACACTAGATTTTGTCGCATTTTAATTATTAATGTGTCAGTTTTAGTTCAGATAAGTTATTCAGCAGGCGTTTTTATCCTTCGCTTCAAAAAAGGTCGTAATGGCAATGTAACTATTTTTAAGTCCATTAATATGGAGTAAATTAAATAAATTTTATGCAAAAGGTAAAACAAATTAAGTGTGTTAAAGAGAGTTTTACATTAAAACCTCAATCTGAACTGAAACAGTACCTTTATCTTATTTTATAATGGAAAATACTTCAAATTTAATCTAAACTTTTGAAAATTTATTTTAGTTAATTGTAATAATGATCAATTATGCCAAATAGTGAGGGTAATTATTTCTTACTGTCATTAAATATAAAACGGGACAAAACAGACCCTTTTAAAATAAAAAATCCAGTATTTAATTTTAGATAGATAACTTTTCCAGCATTGAAGAAGTTAATTTAGTTGATATCAATATTGCTAAGTAAAATTGTCATCCTACGCTACGTCGACTAGTATTTGTCAAACAAAGCACACATAACTATCACAAGAGGTGGCAAAAATCATCAAAAGCGTGTTATAAATCAAAAATATATAAGACTGAATTTAATTAAAATAAAAAGGCTGAAATAAATATTGAAACCTACGTAAAAATTAATAATGTCTTATACCAAACTGGTAAAGTATCACAGAAATTAACCATACCTATCTAAATTATCTTGACATTTAACATATAGTACCTAATACATAATAATATCCAAAAAAATACCCCAGCTTTTCAGGATTTGGTCAAATGATTCGTCAAGTACAAATATATATAAAATAATGGATAAATAGACAATCACCATTAGGCAGCTATTAATTTTCCTAAATTCAAAACTATTAACATAAGGCAATCTCAATCAAAGTTAGGCCTTAATTACTATATTGTAAACAGTTTAACAAAATCATTTTATGTTAAGCATTGTTGATTATTTTACAATACAGCAAAATTATAACCGTAACATATTGAAACTTCAAAATTAATTTATTCAAACATTATACCACGGTACATATATGTATGATACAGTATTGATTCTATCTTGATACAAATAGCCGGAATGCCACCTATACCTACGCGTCTTGAACTTGGCATTGGTACTTGCTGTTGTTTGATATTTATTTTCTTTAATTGTAGGATTTAGATACATTACAAATTTACTTTGGAAACAAGGTTTGTAGTAAGTAGAGTTAGCAATTTTGATATGGTGTAACGCACCCGCGATGGGATACCTGATATTATAGAGCGTTCGCAACATTGCATCTACTATCGATGGGCAGCCCTTTTGCAAGTTGCATAACGCGCGGTGTAGGTAGTTGATACAAGAATAGGCCTGAAGTACAATACTGTATAATATATTTACCGTGACTATAGTACAGTAGTTCCTAACCTAGTGGTAATTTCCCCCGAAGGGTAAATCAGCTATGTGGAGAAAACAAAGAACGAAATAATTAAGAAAAATTACTTAAAGCGAACCTAAACCTAACATCAAATACTGGTAAATACAAAGCGACAATAACCATCACTTGTTCATAAAGATATCTGTATTTTCTTGTAATGTTTGTATTAGCAGCATTTTAAGGTCGGAGTAAAATCAGTATTCCTAATAGCTATTTGGTAAAATTATGAAAAGGTCAGGAACCACTGCTATAGTAATATATAATAAAGTAATTTTTAATTAATGTTATTTAATATTTTTCCATCACCATTAACTGCAGCAACGATGTTGTACGGCCAATTATAAATTGACTGTAGAGGAACATGCAGTAGCTCCACCAAATACCGGTAATTCGATTCTGGAAATTTACACAAATTGCTATAACAATGAGGACATAGCACGGTCGCCGAACAGAAAGAATTTCGTACGTTGACCTTTATGCCTACTGGTTAATACAGATATCTTAAACATTTTAGGTTCAATTTACTACGACAAAATTGGTTAAATGCATCTGTGTTTGCGCAAGAGCGAAAAAGATATGAAGTGTCAGGTCATTGTAAGAAATTCTCTCTGTTGGGCGAACATGATATTCAGACCATGAGATTTTCACTATATTCAGAATTAATTTCATAAACGTACCATTCTCAGGATTTATGTGGCCTTTTCTTATCAGAAAATCGATGAGTACAGGAGCGCTTGTAGTCTTGAACTGTGGTGTAAGAGCTCTTTGTATACATTCTTCGGCAGTCAACAATTCAAAACTCTCAACTTCTCCATCAGCATTTTGTGGCATGAAATCTAATGGCAACTCAAGGTCGTATACATATTCTGTATTTGGAAACAGACCTCTTTCGCTTTCAAAATAAAAACTGAAATAAAAAAGTTATAAGTTTTTCCCAAATGTGAACAGGTAAAAACAGTATTGACAACTTGTCAATAGATTTAATTAATTTTGCATTCATAGTGCTATACTCAACACTGCAAGATACATTAAACATCCTAATAACTTTTGATATGGAATATCATCTTTACAGACACTAGATTTGTCAACATTTAATTTACATTCAATAGGTGTTTCCACTGTGTGACATTCTGACATCTTAAACTTTTGTATCAACTGCTCTATATAATGCTTCTGATCAAGGGTTACAACACAGTTCTTCCTAATATGTGGCATAAAAGATTAGCACATTTAGGGCAAAAATATATGTTACTATTGAAAAATATGGTGACTGGAGTAGATTTTAAAAAGGTTGACAACATCGAACCTTGCATTCCTTGCATTAATGGAAAATTAACGAAAACTTCATTCAAAAATAAAGGTACGAGAGCAAATCAGATTTTAGAAATAGTACATACTGACATCTGTGGGCCTATAGAAGAAGCATCGTTTGCTGGTTCTCGTTATTTTCTGTTATTTATTGATGATTACACGCGTAAGACACACGTATACTTCTTAAGAAATAAGAGTCAAGCATACTGTAAATTTAGAGAGTATAAGACTGAAGTTGAAAATGAGACTGGCAAACAGATAAAATGTATAAGATCAGATAATGGTAAAGAATTTTGTAGTAATGAGTTCGAAAAATTCTTAAAGTCAGTTGGTATAAAGCACCAAAAGACAGTACCATATACACCTGAACAAAATGGCGTAGCTGAGAGGGCGAACAGAACAATAATAGAAAAGGCAAGAACTTTATTATGTGATGCAAATTTAAGCAAAAAGTTCTGGGCTGAAGCGGTCTGTACAGTAGTTTATTTAAAAAATCGAAGCCCTACAAAGGCGGTTACAAATAAAGTACCCCAAGAACTTTGGTCAGGTAAGAAAGTGGACTTAAGCCATTTGAAAATCTTTGGTTGCTTGGCTTATGCATTAAAACCGAAACAGAAAAGACAAAAGCTTGACATGAAGGCTGAAGCCTTGATTTTTATCGGCTATAATGAGAACACAAAAGGTTATCGACTAATGCACCCGCAAACAGGTAAGATAACAGTTGCCAGAAGTGTAAAATTCCTGGAAAATGTATTTCCTGGTGATGGCATGAATGTGAAAAAGAAGAACGCAGTTGTTCCTATTAATTTAGATGAGGAACAAAAAGAAACTGCGGCATTAGAAGAAGGTCCTAATATAAACATAAATGATGTAAATATTATTCAAGATCCTGATACAACTACTCAAGAAGTTAATTCGGAAGTCATAGAAAGGAATACTGAAATGAGTGTTGAATTAAATCCTGAACCAACTACGGCGTCGAATGTTGAACATAGATACAACCTACGTTCGAGAAACCCAGTCGATTATAACTGTTCTTGTACGTGTATCAATGCTATTGCTGAGATTGTCGGCGATCCAATGACGATAGAGGAGGCATTAGCTAGGCCTGATCATGAGTTATGGCAGAAGGCCATGGATGATGAACTACAGTCATTGAAAGAGAATCAGACGTGGACACTCGTTGACTTACCACGTGATAAGAAGCCGATTCAATGCAAATGGGTATTTAAGATAAAGCGTGATAGCGATGGTAAGGTTTCTAAATATAAAGCTAGGTTGGTAGCTAAAGGTTTTACTCAGGTACGTGGCATTGATTATAATGAAACCTATTCCCCTGTAGTTAGGAGCTCTACTTTGCGATTATTATTTTCATTAGCTGTAGAATATGATTGGAATATTGACCAATGGGATGTAACGACTGCTTTTCTATATGGAAAACTGAAAGAGGATATTTATATGCTCCAGCCTAAGGGCGCATTCGTAAAAGGTCAAGAAACCAAGGTATGTAAATTGCAAAGATCATTGTATGGACTTAAACAAGCGTCAAATGCCTGGTTCAATGAGCTCGATAGGGAAATGCTAAATCAAGGTTTTACACAATCAAAAATAGAGCCTTGTTTGTATCAAAAGGTATTAGGAGATAGTGATAGAATAATTGTAGTAATTTATGTTGATGATATTTTTGTATTTTATGGTAAAAACCATGAAAATGAGAAATGTAAATTGAAAAATGGTTTATTGAAAAAGTTCAAAGTCAAAGATCTAGGTCGTGCTAGACATGTATTAGGTATGAGACTTAGAAGAGATAGCAATATAATTTATCTAGATCAGGAACAATATGTCAATAATGTTTTAAAACAATTTGAAATGACAGACTGCAAACCAGTCAACACTCCCATGGAAGCTGGTATCAAGTTAGATAAAGCTTCAGATCCCAGTTGTAGGTTGCCATATCAAAATCTGATAGGATGTCTGAACTATTTAGCACAAAATAGTAGACCAGATATTGCACATGCTGTTAGCGTTTTATCACAGTTTAATTCGTGTTATGATGAAACTCATTTTAAGTGTGCTAAACGGGTGCTTAGATATTTAAAAGGGACATCTGATTTTGCGCTTACTTTTCAAAAAACCGGAAAGTTAGATCTAATAGGCTACGTAGACGCGGATTGGGGTGGGTCTTATGATAAAAAATCTTTCACAGGGCTACTCTTTAAGTTAGGAGAGAATTTAATCATGTGGGAGAGTCGTAAGCAAAGATGTGTAGCATTGTCCTCAACGGAGGCTGAATATGTAGGTTTGAGTCAAGGGTCAAAAGAAGCTATTTATTTAAATAGTTTGTTAAAAAGTATAACAAACAGTAATAGCGATAAACCAGTAGTCATTTATAATGACAATCAATCTTCACATCATATTGCGAAAAATAAGATGAACCATAATAGAACGAAACATATCGACATCAAGTTCCACTTTGTTCGTGAAGCCATATCGAATGGTGCGGTTGAGGTGCGATATTTACCTTCGCAAGAAATGGTAGCAGATATGTTAACAAAATCTCTACCTGGCCCAAAGATAAAATTAGCATTATCGAGATTACCCATTAAGAGGGCGATTGTGAATGAATGAGAAAATTTAAGTTTTAAAAGGGTACTTTATGTTGTTAGTTATTAATTTAAGTTTTGAGAATGTACCTTAAGTTATTTATTTTCTTATGTAATGGTTAATCTTTATTTGTTAATTTTTGTTTGTTTCGTTGTTCTATTTTTTGATCGAGTAAACTTTGTTTTGATAAATTCGAACATAAGTATTATGAATCTTGTTATATTTAAGAGTGCATTAAATGTGTCAGATTAAGGGTGCGTATTGGAGGTCGCATACTGGCTGCTTTAAAATATAATCTGCCACATTGACGGCTTTTTGTATTACTGTCAAAAAGGAATAACCGATGTAAACGTTGTATTGAAATCTTATGAATAAATTATTAAATTAATATAATCTAAGAACCTTGTTACAATCAACAATAGGGAAATATTCAGGTAACTGCATAAATATAGTTTCCTTTAAACAACCATTAAGAAATGCTGTAGTGACATCTAGATGGGTTATGTCCATATTTAACTGTACACTCAATGCAAATAGATAACGCAAAGTTGAATGTCTTATAACAGGAGAGAACGTCTCGTTATAATCTACACCAGGTCTTTGTGTAAATCCCTTAGCAACTAACCTTGCACGATATCTCACTTGTTTGTCACAATATTTCTTTTTAAGAACCCACTTGCACTTCACCACTGTGCCTGCACTTGGAACATCTACCAACTCCCATGCATCATTTTCACTAAAACTGTCCAGTTCTTCCCCAATTGCATTTAACCACTGCTCCTTTTCTGGCCCTGCCAATGCTTCCTGCAGAGTCAGATCACCAGCATCATCCCAAGCTTCCAAAGTAGAATTAGCACACATATTTGAATATCCAAACCGTTCTGGTTTCTTCCGCAGCCTAACAGTTCTTCCATTATACTTTGATTCATCTGATTCAGTCAACTCAGTATCTTCATATTCACTTGGAATATATGTCAGGTCAGATTTGTCACCATGACTTTCAATTATAGTGTCTTCTAAAACATCTGAAGATATGCCCCCCACTGAATCTAGATTCTCTTCATTGCATTCTTTGCTTTCTGTCACAGGCATTGACACTTCTTCCATTATGATAACATCTCTACTAGTGTTGATCTTCTTGGTGACGGGATTATAAAGTCTATACCCTTTTATGTCCTCTGAATAGCCCACAAGTATCTGCTCCTCTGACTTTTTGTCCCATTTTTGGCGCTTTTCCTTTGCCACATGCACCATGACACGGCTCCCAAAAATTCGCAAATGACTTATGTCTGGCCTACCTCCTGTCCATACTTCATAGGGTGTTTTATCATTCAACGCTGGAAGAACAGTACGGTTATGCAGGTAGACTGCTGTATTTGATGCCTCAGCCCAAAATTCTTTACCTAGCTTGGCATCAAATAATAAACATTTCGCTTTCTCAATGACCGTGCGATTAAAACGCTCCGCCAGGCCATTTTGCTCCGGCGTGTAGGGATTCGACTTCTGATGCAAAATACCATTTTGCTTCAAATAATCATCAAAACTTCTGTTGCAAAATTCCTTCCCATTATCACTGCGTAGTATTTTAATTTTTCTGTTTAATTGGTTCTCTACTTTGACCTTGTAATTCTGGAAGTATTGAAGTGCTTCACTTTTCTGTTTCATGAAATATATGTAGGTCATACGACTGTAATCATCAATGAGCAACATGAAGTACCTGGACCCACCAATAGAAGCATTTTCCATCGGACCACATACATCACTGTGAACTACACCCAATAATTTATCACTTCTCGAACCAGTATGTCCAAAAGGAAGGCGTGACTGCTTGCCTTCACAACAAACAATACATGACGATTGAGAAATATCACTTTTCTTCTCAAGTTCCATGCCACTTACTGCATCAGGCATCTTATTTAAGTACAAGCTATTTACATGGCCTAATCTGCGATGCCATGTGTCTATAGATATAAATGTTGTGGCCAGTGTGCTCTCAGGAGTTATCAATTTGTAGACTCCATTTGTTAATGATGCTACGGCGACCAATTGCTCATTTCTGTTGTAAATACTGCACCCGCTGGTAGTAAACACCACTCGGTTACCTTTTCTGACCAACTGACTGACAGATAGTAAGTTTGTGGTTAATTTCGGCACACACAATACTCCTTCAACAATCACGTCATATTCACTGTCGTTAGTAACCGTCGCAATTTGCACGTCACCCGAGCACTTTACACTAAGCTTTTCTTCGTTCGCAACAACGATTTCTTTAATTAGATGCTCGGTCGAGACGTTTTTAATCCAATCTTCATTTGAGGTTAAGTGGGCGCTTGCTCCCGAGTCAACATACCAATCTGTTTTTGAAAAACTGCCATTTAGGAAGACGGCGTTGAACGCATTTGTTTGTTTACGTTCACTCGATTTGGTATTTAGAGAATCCTTAGAATCCTTATCAATAGTACATTGATTGCGATAGTGCCCGGTTTGTTTACATCTATAACACCGCAGTACTTTCTTTGACTTTGACATTTGCGAATGTCCATTGTCTTTTGCTCTACTGTGACCAATGCTGCCAACCTTGTTTTTTTTTTAAAATTGCAAATGCCCCGCTTGCGTCGCCATTATTGTTTTCGTCCAAATCCATCAACTTTGATTTAATGGCATCGGTGGTGATGGCGATCCCGGAATGCTCGATCGCCATTATCATCGGCGAATATTTCTCCGTTAAACCAGCTAACAATAAACAGCCGATCCACTCGTCACTGATTTGAAATCCTGTTCCGCTTAGCTTTTGTCCAGTCTCTACTAGCTGTGTCACATAACTTGTCATAGTACTGCAATTTTCGAGACGAATCGAGATAAGATTTCTCAATAAACTGATACGTCTACTGAATCCGGAGTCGTCGAATAAGGCTTTCAGTTTATTCCACAGTTCCAACGACGTTTTGACATCCTTTATGTGCACGTACAAACTTGAGTCGATCGTAAGAATTAATTTAGCCTTGGTCCTCGCATCATCAGCGGCTTCTATAATCTTCCCGGCAGCAGGCTTTATGCAATGCTCCATATTCTCCAGGATCAGAAAATTCTCCGCGGCGAAGCACCACTCCGTATAGTTTTCTCGTCCTTTTAACTTTGGTACATTTACCAAATAGTTCGTCGACATGATTTTTGTTGCAATCTATCACTCGCGAACTTTGTTAGAAAAACAACTATTTCTAGCTAAAAAAATATATGCGACCCTGGGCCCATAACCTATTGTTAATAACAGGTACAATAAAATATAATTTAAACGCGTGGCTGTTTCTAGAGATGAAAAACTGCCATTTTTTATTACCATAAAAACACAGACAAATTACTAATACAAGAAAATAGTCTATGAAAAGTAGCCATAGACTCAAACAAAAAAAACTCAAATTTCGATATCTATAAATTACATTAATGAATAATGTTTAAAATCCCATCTCAGAGTACCAGGGACAAAGTAGATTTTTTAAGCCTTTTTCATTAAGACTTTGTCAACACTTTTTTTACTGTTCACATTTTGTCAAATTTTTCCTGTATAGCCTTATTGCTGAAATTGGGGTCCTCCTTAAGGTAGAACTCTGACAATTTTGCGTCGTATATGTGATGAAGACGCATCGCTACCCCTGAGTATGACCTAAAGGGGCTTTTGAACAAGCTATAATTTTTGGCAATTAGTTGCTGTACTACTTATAGGCCTGACCACAGCAGAAACGTTTTGTGGTCGTCCTTTCTTTCCTTGCTAAATAATATCGGCCATACCAAAAATCAGCTCACATACATTACTGCAATACCGCATAACCAGGCTGGCAACTGTGTTGCAGCCACTAATTCCCAAAAAATATTGCCCGTTTGGAGGCTCCTTAACACATTATATTACGTACTTAATATTCTGGACATGTCAAACTAATATATCAACAAAAAGCCACACCTGACACAACCAGCAGGTACCAACTTCTTAATAAGATCCCCCTCAACAGAAGCTTCCTCTGCAGCTTCTTTTATAGCAGTCTCTAGAATGCCATATCCGACTGCAAGTCCACCGCTTACAAAACAATCCCATTTTCCTGAAATATTGAAAGTATTTTATTTCTAAAATTAGTACATCTTTAAAGTAAGGTCTAACATTATTATCACATAAAGTGAAGACTAAAATGAAAATGTACTGGGCACATGATAAAATCCACAAAATCAAAACGAAAAGAATTTCCATGGCTTATTAATGTGAGTCAAATCTTGTAAGTTAAAGGAAAATGCCTTTTTTTGTATGGGGATTCGTACCAACTCGCGTCAACCCAAATTAACTCTCAACGAGTCAAGTTTTTATTTAACTTCTCACTAGCATCAAGATTTTATCAAAATTCGACCGCATTTTTAAGATATTCGAAAAAGATTAATTGAAAACGGCATTTCATTAATGTAATTATTATGCCACTCTTCAATATTTAAATAAAAATGTGTTTGAGGCTGTACCTACTTGAGAAGTGAATTAGTACACTTGCGTTATATGATAACCAGAGGTCGGAATTAGGTAGAGTTATTTATCTACTTGCATCGAAATGTTGTTATTAATGTGGACCTTCGTGGCAACATCGCGCGTATTGGTATTTTGCAACTTTGGACATCCGATGTCATTGATGTAAGTTTGGCAACGTCGTGCGTGCAGTAGTTTAAATTGTGTAAAAGTAAATAACTTTTTATTTAAAAAATCACGGGATTTTTTCTGCTCTTTAAAATTAATCTCGGGATTTGAGGCATATCCACTTTATTCTTTCGCTGTATGAAATCAGTGTAAGTACACGAATAACTCTACTTAATTCCGACCACTGATGATAACACAACTGATATTTTCTATTTATTTCTAACAAATAAGCAGGCCTCATAACCAGATTTATTAATTAAAAGCACGACTCAAATGTAGTGAATACTATGATCCAGTATGTCCAAATTCCATACGAAAAATCGCTCTATAGAATTTAGGGAGATTTTTTATTTATTGCTTGTACTGAAATTCATATCATTAGGTTGGTGGAATAAAAGCAATCACTCTACTGGTGTCTAGCATGTAGGAGTGCGCAAAAATTATTATTCAATAAACCTAATCCACGAGTATTTAAAAATATAAGTTTTAAAATTACTGTACTTTTTGATCAATGTTTGCTCCGCACAATATTCTGAGTCACAAAATATATGCTTCATGTTTTCAAAGCTGGCGATAGATCGAATTGTGAGAATTACAGACCCATTTGCATTCTGTCTTGTCTTGCAAAAGTACAGGAATCTTTGGTATATGATATCCTATTTTCTCACATACAGCCTCTCATATCTCCGTATCAACACGGTTTCGTCAAAAATAGGTCAACGATCAGCAATCTTTTGGAATATAAAAATTATTTGTGCCAAGCCTTTGCTAAAAATATACAAGTAGATTCAATTTATACAGATTTCTCAAAGGCCTTCAACAGGGTCGACCATTATATACTATCTTTAAAATTGCAGTCGGTGGGTATACACGGTTCGTTGTTGCGATGGATGGAGTCATATCTAGCTCGCAGGACTCAGCTGGTTGCACTAAAAGCTGAAGTTTCTGCACCTATTACAATAACTTCTGGCGTCCCACAGGGCTCGCATCTTGGCCCTCTTTTATTTATTATATTCATCAATGACCTTATAAAAAGCTTAAATTGTCCCTCTTTGTTATACGCAGATGATTTGAAGGTATTCTCAGTCATTAAAAACTCAACTGATGCTCAAATTCTGCAACTTGATCTGAAATGTCCTTGAATATAAACAAGTGTTTTGTACTAACATTTACTAAAAAGATCAATGTTACAAGCTTCACTTATAACATTGACGGTCTTCCGCTAAGTCGTGTCGAACAGGCAAAAGATTTAGGCATAATCTTTGACTCAGAAATGTCCTTCAAAGCACATTATAATAATACAGGAATATTTTTTTTCCAGTGCAAAAATTTTTTTTGGTGGTTCAGTATCAGTAATAGAACACTTTTCCATAATTAGTTAAAAAAATTTTTTTTAATATTTTTATCCCTATCGAAACGGTAGAATATGGACACATTTTTTAAAATAAAACTTCAATGAAAACGTCTTCTCTTGCGTATGCCACCGTGCAACCCCGCCGCGCCCGGTAGCCCCCCGCCACAGCCCCCACCGCCCCGCCGGGACCGAGCGACGCGCGCGACAGTGAGACTCATACGCACGCGCCGATGTGACGTGTCCTCGCGTTCCCGCGCACGCGACGCGCCCGCCGTCGTGAGTTTTACGAGATGTACGAGTTTATCTTTTGAGTGGTGAGAACCTACATAAGCGCAATTCGGAGAAAGTATGCGACGAAGAGCATACCTCGTATGCGGGCCTTTGGGATCCGTAACCCCGCGGTCCCTAATGCTTCGAACCATTTTAACAGACGAAGTCCCAGAGTCAGTACCCACGATGCGGCATATCTCTTTGGTGTGAGCCAGCCTGCGGTATTGAAGCTGCTAAAAACAGCCGGACTCCATCCGTACCACTTTCAGCCGGTTCAGCAGTTCCATGACCTAGACCCAATACCACGTCGAGCCTTATGTGAGTGGCTTCTACATCACCGCGATGTAAACATCTTGTAGACGGATGAGGCATTGTTCACAAGTGAGGGACTGTTTCTTATGGGAAGAAGTCAAACGCCGAGATGTAGAGGAGGCACAAAGTCTAGAAGACAACAATAAAAAATAATAACGCTTTCAGTGAAGTGAAAAGTGACACTAGTGTTTTAAACAAATTAAATGACAATTTAATGAAATGTGCACGTTTATGTCTGGACAGACGTGGACTTCATTTTGAACAAATATTAAAATACATGGTAAGTAATTAGTTAGGTATTTGTTTTGATTCAACATTATTGTAAATACGTAGTTGATTCTAATTTTTTTAAATACGCCTTAACGCAGAAGTACCTATGTAACTTCGACATAACGTTAATATTTTTTTCTAGGTAACGAATTTGTTTCTCTTTTATTTTTTTGCATTTTGATGGCCTTAACCATAAAAGTATGAAGGGAAAATTGGAATTACTCTTAGAAAACACCTCAGATCATGGCATAAAATCTAGTTCGAATCTAACAAAATGAGCGTTCAGTGACCCGTGTAGATAGGTACCTACGAGTACATGCCTACGGCGGCGTCGAGCGAGCGCTCAGCTGACGCACGGCGCGCGGTGTCCATAAATGAAGTTTTAAAATCTCGATCTTTGATAAGCGATAACTTTATTTTTTAGTATTAGAACATATCAAAATAAAAAATACGTGTTTATTTAAATTACTTAAAGTTTATTTTCACAAAATCTTCGCAGTGGTTTTAAATTATTCCTGTATATGCAACAAAGCAACTCGCCTTTTGGGTTTCGTCTTGAGAGTCACTAAAGAATTTAGAAATCCCCGCAGCATCATTTATCTATTCAATTCTTTAGTTAGAAGTAATCTTGAATATGGATCAGTCATTTGGTCACCCTTTTATGACACTCATTCTAAACTAGTGGAGGGTGTACAAAGGAAGTTCCTGCGTTGCATATCCTATCGACAAGGTCTATCTCGTAAATTAAGATCTCGCAACGAGAGATTGTCTAGGTTTAATGTTGCGACCCTGGAAGATAGACAAAAGCAAAGTGATTTGATCCATTTGCATAAAATTATTCATTCATACATCGAGTCACCATCCTTATTATCCTCCATAAATTTCAACATTTCCTACAGAACGCGTAATCCAAAAACATTTTCATTGCAAGTTCTCCGCAACAACATATCCTTTTATAATCCAATCGTTCGTATGTGCCGCCTTTACAATGAGATCAGTCAAACTAATCATGACATAGATATATTCGACAGTAATAGATATTCATTCAAAAAGAAGGTAATGTCACTATTTAATTCAGGAATTATGTCATCATAATCAACATTAACACACTGTTTTTTTTTTTATTTTGCTAAGTTCAACTTGGACTAAAATTATTATATCATTAGCTTTAATGCTGCTCCATTTTTAATCATGCTAGAGATACATATTATTGGGTATAATTGGATTTTGCAAGATAAATAACAAGTTATGCTTTGTATTAATTATATCCTGTTTTGTATCTTAATAAATAAATAAATAAATATACATAAAGCACACTTTCTACCATTTCAAAAATTTCCTTCCTATTTCCTCTAAAATCCTTTTAATCCAATCAATCATTTTTCCCATTATAGATTATGCTGATGTGTGTTATGCTGATATCACACAGGAATTTCTTAACAAATTGAATCGATTACTTAATAATTGCATACGTTTTATTTTCTATCTTCGCAAGTACAATCATGTCTCTTCTTTTAGGAAAAAGTTAAAATGGTTAACTATTCGGCAGTGTCGAGATCTGAGGATGCTCTGTACCCTTTATTCCACCATTAAAGATCCATGTGCGCCTGGAAATTTGAAATATAAGTTACAGTATCTAGGTGCTTCACACAGCCGCAACCTTCGCTCAGACAGCAAAGAAACTCTCGCCACTCCTTTTCACCGTACAGGGTTTACTTCAAACTCATTTTCACTTCAGGCTATACGACTTTGGAACGCACTCCCTCCCCAAATTCAAGCTGCTCTAAATAAATTATGTTTCAAAAGATTGTTAAGTTGTCGCAATGAAAAGCCAGTGTGAAATATGTGGACTAGCGTCAAAACCGTGAGAACGGCTTTTCTTTTTTATGGCCAAGATACCTTTAGACAAAATCGGTAAGATTTTAATAATAATAATCAAATATGTTATGACTAAATATTTTAATCACTAAACAACTTATTCATAAGTAAGTATTTTAAGATAAAGAAGAAATCACTCAAAAACACCTCACTAGATGGCGAATCTACCAAATGTTGATTTTTGCAGGAAACTAATGGACCAAAGATAGTCATTTTCAAAGTTCGAAACTTAAATATCAATACAAATGCGAAAAAGTACAACGCGGGCGCAGGCAGCGCCGCTCTCAGGATATTTTTAGGAGTCTCACCCAAGCCGTCTTAGAGCACGGTCACGCACGGCGTAGCACCCGCATTAGATAGTTACAATTACGATATTACGCGTCGCGTGTCATACGGAATAGAAATTCTGATACCAATGATCTGATGTGACTATTGAGTGTAATATTACTCACAAATGTATTATATATAACGGTGATATGTGTATACTGAGATGAAAATGAAACATGTAGGTATTGATTACGAGAAGCATCGTTTCATTAGACGAATCCCAAGAGCGAGGCACCCTAGATCGTCAACGTAAAGGAGGCACTTCCTCCACCTACCAAGCCACCACAAGCACGAACCCGCACCTCTTCGAGCGGCCACGCGGAGCGGACAAGTTGCTCCAGCAAGGTACCGAGAGCGAGTCCACCGCACTCGTATAAACAAGTTGTCTATTAAGTTTTGAAAATTAATTAATTTTTTATACATAAAAGATTGCCATGAAGAAATCAATTAAATACTGTAGCGACTAGTTTGATTTCAAGAGCTAATGTTTTTTTTTCATTACGAAAATATATAATTAATTTAGTCTTTTAAGTTTATTGGGAAAATAGTGATGGGGGAATGAAAGTAAAAAAATAGATAACTTTAAATATACTTGTTTTCAATAATAAGGAATGGATTAAATTAATCGGCAAAGAAGATTTGGCATATATTTCTATAGAAGTACTTCATAAAGAAAAGTTTGTATGCGAGAAACGCTTTCTGGATAAAGATATAATAAAAAAAGACCTATAGTGATTTCTACTGTGCTTACGGGATCTAAGAATAATTATTTTTGTTTAAATATTGATACAACTAGATAAACATAAGTTAAGGGTCTGCTTAGATTTCATTATTGATATTTCTTGTTTCAGGTCAATATTATCAGATTTTCTCAGTGATATTTATGTGCTTTGTAATTACGTTTTGACGATTTTTCACAGACTATTTTTGCACACTGGGATCGATTGTCTATCGATCCCAGTGTGTAAAAATAGGCAGTGTCTAAGCTGTGATGTGAAAAATACCTCTTTTGGTGTTACCCAGGGAAGCATACTAGGCCCGACCCTATTTAAATATACATAAATGACATTTGCAACTTAAAATTACATGATGGTAAAATAATTTCATATGCTGATGACACTGCTCTACTGTTTATTGCTAACACAGGCGAAGACGTGTATGAAAATTCCAGCAGCATTTGCTACCTCTGAGTGTATTATATGTATTTAGGCATTATAATAGATGATACCCTCGCAATTAAGTACCAATATAGAAGCTGTAAATTACAGAATCCGTAAGTTAATATTTGTTTACAAAAAAAATCGCTAGGCAAATATATTTTCAATAAATATTGTGTGTATATTATTAAATTGATTTAAATCTTTATTCTACATATGCTTATGTTTAGCTTATGTAAGTTCATCGTTTTATTTTTATAGTTATTAGTTTAATGTTAGTTAAGTAAACCTGACATACAGAAAGTTCCTAGTTCAGGCACTTGTGTTATTTTGCTCAATTTTATATAATTATACCTAGTTTTATACACCGTGTTCATAAGTATTTAAATAAAGAATTTATTATTATTTTTAGCTATTAACAGTTCTTGCTTCATTCAAATTCTTGTCCATTGGTTAAAAATATTTGCTCAAGTTATGATATTTTTATAAGTAATTAATTACTTCTCTCGACTATAGATACGAGTGTAAGTATCTAATGTGGAAGTATTTTAAAAAACGTTAGTTACCGAAATCAAACTAAATGTCGCTACGGTACTTTCTTGATTTCTCCATGACAACCTTTCCTGTTTTCTTTCATGTATAAAAATAAATTAATTTTCAAAACTTAATAAACAACTCGTATTCTATTTGTACTTTTTCATATTTGTATTGATATCTAAGTTTCGAACTTTGCAAATTTCAGTTTTTTAATATGTTAGTTAAAAGGAACGGCAATAACTATCTTTGGTCCATTCGTTTCCTGCAAAAATCAACATTTGCTAGAGTCGCCATCTAGTGAGGTGCTTTTATAGTGGTTTCTTTTTTTAATACTTCCTCATTATACAAATTCGGTGACTCATATAGACGCGCAGACGCGGCCTTAGTCGGTCGGATAACAGGTACACGTCGTATTCTTGCTCTGTGGGTACATGTTTGATCCAAGTGTTAGTGAGTTTATTCCCCCAAATTTATTATCAAGCTTAATATTATGAGTTAAAACCGCTTTTTGTATGCGTTTTTAGAAAAAATTATTTAAACGCTTATCGCGTTTAAATAAATTTTTCTACTGAATTTAATTATCGGTTATGCATATTTAAAGCTGACATTCCTAAGCCTATTGAAGCCTGACGGGAATTTTTCGATTAGAATGAATACCTCATTTTGTGTTTTTTGGTACTGCAGAAAGTTTTTTCTCAGTAGTATAATTTACATTTTTATTTTTGTTCATTGTGCTTTAAGTACATATTTTGTAATTCAGAATATTATGCAGAGCAAATATAAATGTTTACATATGTAATCAAAAAAATAGTAAAGTGATTCAAAACATATACATCTAAATACTCATGGTTTATGTTTACGGAATAAGTATTTTGGTGTACTCATACTTGCAAGACTCCCATAGAGCTACTATGAGCAAGCAACTACTCTTATTCCACCAACCTAACAATACTAATTTCAATACTAGCAATTACAAATCTCCCTAAACTCTATAGGATGATTTTTTTGTATGGAGTTGCGACAGACTGCTTGATTTCAGTTCCATATTTCAGTGTCTGTTATGCTGTTTCTAATAAAATATGCAATATATTTTTTTCTTAATTAGATAAAATAAAACTATTTAATACCATCTATTATAATTATTTTACATTATAATCATACACTTGTGAACTTAGATGGTATCTAAAGGAAGATATTTAGATCATTGTCAGTTTATGAAGACAAGGTCAATTGTTTAAGGAAAGTTATTCTTTGGATGTAGCTTTTTTATGGAAACGGGCAAATTGTTAATTATTAATCATCACTTTTTAATGAGGTCAAAATATTGCTTTAAACCCAGTAATAAATAAAACATAACTTTTTGGTAATAGTATACCTGTGACGCAATATGGTATGGATAAAGGCAATCTCCTTTGACCCACTTGCACTTTTTTGCATGCACAACTTAGATGACAATGACATGTTAATCTGAATGTAATTTGATGATTGACAGGAAGGTAACCATGGGACCTTTGTTTAAGCAGCATGGTTGCATTTCAACAAGTTTCGACTCCTTTGTCTATACAAGATCCAAGATAGAACTGATCTAATAATAGTGCTGTATAGTAGCCATGGAAACCCAATATGCAGGTGACATAGGCTAAAATTTACACAGGTCAAGTTGCAACAAAACAGCTAGTACAAAATCACTTCACGTAGCTATAAATTCTCATTTGATAGTTGTTACAGTGATATTATAGGATTCCTCCATATATTAACACATAATAATTTTATTGTATGTAGTAGGTTTTTAATAAAAAATATATACATTGTAGTACTAACCTGGCCAAGTCTGTTTAGTAAAACTTCGTTGTTGTAACCAAATACATAATCCTTTAGAAGGATGGTTCAAGTAACCAGTTACACTGACCCCATAATTTCTGATGCCAAACAAGCAGATGGCGCTCCTGTCCATTTCCAGGAGACTTTCATGACACAAAGGGGTACTTACTTCAAAACACTATAAAACAATTGTGAATATAAATTTTAAATTTCATGATGGAACAAATCTAAATTCTATTATGAATAAATCTCATCACCTCATCCCGCCATCCTTTCAGAGCACATATCTCATTGTCTTTCCTCAAATCTCCCAGAATTTCAGCAACCTTTCTAGTTCTTTCTCTATAGTCTCTGAATGCTGGATTTAACTCAATACATTTCTCTGTAATAATAAAAACCTACAAATGCACAAAAACATTAAATATATGTTTATTAAATTCTAAGATAAACATTATTCAACAGGATAGTATGGGTTTTATGATAATGTATAGATTAATGAATGGATCAAGGACAATAGTAAAATATTCAAATAATTTTGTAATACCTCAGGAAAATTTCGGATATATTTCATAACATCAGGTCTAATCAGTCCCACTTGGTGACCAGCTACAATAAATGGTTTACATATGCCTTGGTGTAATCCTGAAAATGGCTAATTCTTATTAAAATTTTTGATAAATAGAAATATCAATTAAATGTTTTATCAACATACCTGATAGGTAAAAACAGTTAAATTTTCTAGCTAAGTTCAAAAGATCAGAACAATTTTGTAAAGTCGAATTCATTTCTTTCATTCTATTCCATACACATTTAATAAATTTATATTTTCAAATTAACGTTCCGCTGCCAAAAGAAATTACAATCTAAAATAAAAAGAAAAAATATTGATATGAACGGCACACACAACACAAACCAAACATGACAAAAACCAAACAGGGCTTTTTTCTAAGATTGATTTTTATTTAAAAAACTAACGATCTCTGATAGAATTGAGCGAAGCAATGGAAACGATAATGCTTCATCAGGAACAAATTTGGTAACAAAAACATCTAAATAGTAGTGCTAGGTATTTAAGCTATTTAGTGGATATTTTTTTTAATAAATCGAACAACCTACAATATTACAACTTATTACTGTTCTCTTTGATTACAACCTTCACCAGTCTAAAGCGAATCTCAGAATAAAGTAAATTTAAAAGCCAAACTTCAAAAATTTCAAAATATATATACTTTACATGGCACCTAATGGCGAAAACGATAGACAAAGAGTAATATAATATCATGGACAAAGAACTCCCAGCTGAAAAACGAGCCAAGCGAGATATCAAGTACAGAGGCTATTTGTCTCTTCCTAATAGTGCGACAATAACATTTTAATTAAGTGAGACTTTTCATATGGCTTAGTTCAGACTTTTTATATAATGCGCGCCCTTATAATATCTATGAAGAATCGCAAGTGTTTGTTTACTCATAAGATTACACAATCTGTCAATATCGGTCACAAATCTCCTCAGCAACATCAATTGTCTTTGCGAAATTCGTTTAATATTGGCAATCGGAGATCAAATTGCACTAACCAATGAGACTTTGTATGCCCGAAGCGACAGCACTGGTAGCATTGTATCGTAGGATATATGTATAAATCTACATTAAGAGCATTATAGCACGGCACATAAATATGCGTTTTGGTAAGATTTGACCATCAAACGTTAAAACAATAGTTTGAGATGGCTTCCAAGTAGGGGTATCATTTAGAAACACTACAAATACTTAATATCAAAACAGTTAACTGATCACTATTTTATGCAAGAGGTATTAGTAAAAATATTAAATTAAAAAACGCGCCCGCCAAAGTTAAACGTTTCCCGCGCTTTTTCCTCAGTCTTCAGTTTTTTATTAAGTTAGTTAAAAGGAACGGAAGTGACTGTCTTTGGTCCATTGGTTTCCTGCAAAAATTAACTTTTGCTAAAGTCGCCATCTAGCGGAGGTGCTTTTTAGTGCTTTATTTTTTTAAATACTTCCTATTTTACAATTCTTGTACCAATAGGAAGCTACAACATATGCGCTGAACATATCGGGTTGGCACAAAAGTAATGAGACACTTGGTTTAAGTTTTTACTTTTTTATTATTATTACAATAAAAAAAGTTTAGTCAATGATGTAATTACCATTAGTATCTAAGACTTCTTGCCAACGATCCGGCAAAGTTTGAATGCCTTTTGCCCAGAACTCTGATGGCTGTGCCTCGAAAAAGTTGTTCAACTCCGCCTCTACGTCAGAGAAATCATTAAATTGTTTACCCGCAAATGCTGTTTCAGGGCTCTAAACAAATGATAGTCTGATGGGGCGAGGTCTGGGGAATAAGGTGGGTGGGGTATCGTCTCCCAGCCCAAGTTCTCCAACTGCCGGCGAACCACAGATGCGACGTGAGGTCGAGCGTTATCGTGCAGTAAAACTACATTGACTCGTCTTCGTCGTTTTTTCTTGATAGTGGCAGATAATTTGGTAAGCTGGGTTGAATATTTGTCAGCGTTTATAGTTTCATTGTGTAATAGTTCATAAAACAGTATGCCTTGCGCATCCCAGAAAAAGCAAAGCAGAATTTTTCGGCGGTTCTTTTGACTCGGCTTCGGTTGAGTTGGTGGCGTTTCTTCTCGAGGCAGCCAAAAAGCACGACGTGTATCGTTCTCGTAATAAATCCATGATTCATCTCCAGTAACCAGATCTGACAAAAACTCTTTACGTCGGGGTTGCAGCAAAAGTGACTGACAGATAGCGACACGGACTGCACGACTGGCGTCTGTAAGGATGTGCGGTACCCACCGAGCCAAAACTTTTCGATAACCAAGCTCATGCAGATGGTGTTCCACGGCGTGGTGACTGCATTTAAGTGCTTCCGCTAATTCACGAGTGGTAGCATCCGGATTCAACTGCAGTTCGCGGCGCAAATCGTCATCATTCACTGCGGGTGGTCGCCCTGAGCGTGGCTGACTTTCAAGGCTCCTGTCTCCTGGTTTAAAACGGTCAAACCATCGGGACACCGTCGCATGGCTTGTACTTCCAGCGCCTAATGCATTGTTGATATTGTCAGCCGCAGCCCGCGCACTGTGGCCTAACAAGTACTCGTATAAGTATAGTGTTCGAACTTGTCGCTCGTACATTTTTCTTCAAACTGACTAAACAAATCGCGAGCGCGGCTTTATATACCCTACACCAGAAGTACCTAGAATGTTCTACAACATTCTAGAATATTATCGAAAAAATTGATTTTAAAAAGGAAATGTTATAGATTTTTCTAGTGTGTCTCATTACTTTTGTGCCAACCCAATATATTTTATCCCGAAAAATGCCAAATAAAGGGATGCAAATGTAAGTGGAAGTTTGCATAGGGAATTAAAACGTCATAATAACCATTGTTTACAATTCCATTTGCCATTGTAATCATCTAGCAGTAGGAATTATATCCGGGTCAAAGAATAATGTTTATCCATACTTTACTCTAAATATCCTACATATGCGTGTCATAATACGAAACAATATCCAAATGATTTACTAAATTAAATTCTAGGCTTGGATGTAGGTTTATTTTGGGCTGCTTTTTATCCCACATAACAGTTTCCAAGGGACCACGCGGGCTGAGCCGGTGACGTAAAGCTAGTATAACAAATAAAATACACATGAAAAAGGTTTTGACATATTATTTATATAAAAAAATAAGCGGCATAGATAATAAATTAGAGTAGCGAGGACTCGAGTGATATTCTTTTTGATACCTGATGGTAAAACGGGTATAGAGAAAGACCAGGGAGCTTTTAGATCACATGAGTTTATTTACCACCAAAATTATATACTCGGTGGAACAGAACGACCGACACTCCCGAGGTTCCTAGAGAGTACTATTTGTCTTTAATATGATGTAAAAAAAATTATAAGTCTAGGTCAAATAGTTTCGGAGATATTAAAATACAAAATTTTTGAAAAAGAATGAGTGTTTTCAACCCTGAGTCAGCTGTTTTTGGGACGTACTAAGGAAAAGTTTTAATCGGTCATTGACTGCTTCACTTCTAAAAACGAAATAAACTAATTTGTGATTTATAAGACTGCATTCATGCAAATTCTACCAGACAATCAATAAACAAGGCAGTCAAAATGCTTAAATCGATTTACAGACTAACAGCCGGTTTCTGATTTGAAAGTAGAAAATTTCTACTGCTTATTCTCAATAACCTAAGTTTTTTTTTATTTCACAAGTCAAATAGTCCTAGTTTTATCAAAGTGCTATCAACTGATCATCAAAAAACTAAAATCGGAAACGAAAACTAAGTGATGTTAGTTTGAGACGTTTTACTTTAAATTCTCAATTCTTAATTGAGAATTGAGAAAAAACCGAGTGTAAAATTTCCTAAATTATTGTAGAGAGATTAGTCTAACATTAACCTACGTTATTTTAAAAGAGCAGTTCTCCAAAAAAAAATGTTTGAATGGGGTAATACTCCTTTAACAACGGGATCGTTAATTAAACTCGATAAACTCACAAATCTTCCAGCGATTCATCATTAACATAAATGAACTTTGTTTTAAAAACATTGAGGAATTTGTTATTAAAATAGCATTTAAAAAGAACATTAAATAATGCGTGATATCAAAAGACGAATAAAAAAATGTGAACCGAGCTCGTCCCTCGATATCAAACCCACCCGCCAGCCGCCAGGCGGCTTCATTATTCTGTTGGTATTGTCCGGCCGATCAGTCCACGATCAGTCGCCGCCGACCTTTTGCGCTGGAGTGTTGTTGCGCATCGCCGCCGACGCACCGCTGCGAAGCGTCTTTTTTTGTCGATTTTTGTTTTGTTCTAGTGCATTTTTAATTGAATTTTTGTTAATAAGATACTAGAATGTTCGTCTTGAGCGTTAAGTTTAGTTTAGTGAAGATTGTGTTTAGTTTTGTGTGAAATGTGATGTGTTTTGCGCGTGCATATCTTTTGCATACACTGGCATGCAAAAGAGCGTGCTTAGCTGTCTTCAAAGAAGAATTGAACATTTTCAGCATCGACTATCATGAAGATATCGGTAATAGAGCTGTAGCAAATCGTATGTATTCGGTACCGAGTAACGGGTGCGCCGTCTAGTACCGAGTAACGAGACGTTACTCACGAATGCATTTCGTTACTCGCATTTTTCGTATGTACCAAGTACCAATACTGTTTCAGTTTATGTACTAGTGCCGTTGATGCGTGTATTGAAACGCTTGTTGATGGTATCTGCCTACCGACATTACGCATGCGCCCATTGCGCGCGCTTATTCGATGAGTTTAAAATGTACGTTACAAAAAACGACGTTTGTTATAGAATAATTTGGAAATTACTCGTCCAAGTATTTTACTGTTGAGTAAAATTATTGTGTGTATAAAAGTTTGATTTTGGTACAGAAACAAGGTAAGAAAGTATTAATAACAGAATAGAAATAGGTATATGTTTTGATTTATTATTATTGCGTATTTTTAATTCTTATCTTTTAAGGGTTATTATGATTGAGACACTTGAGTTTTAACTATTTATTGCATGAGGCAATATCTAGAAGAACGCATTATTTTTTATATCCCGAACTTTCAAATATGTCTGAGAAATATTTATCAATGATGACTACCTCGGTACCATTTGAAAGGATTTTTTCCAAATCGGTCCAAATATTAAAGGAAAAGATTTTATTTTTAAATATGAACTATAGATTCCTGCCCTAAAATGTCTAATTTTATTATAAATAAATGATTTTCTACTCCCATTTGGTGCTTTTGAATTATAACATTTTTCAGTACTTATTTAAGTAACGTTACTACAAATAACGAATGTTGCGATATCATACTGTACAATTCGATTTGTAGCTCTGACATAAATATGAGGTATTGGAAGTAACGAGTAACGTAACGATACGAAAGTAACGAGTAATGATTTTTAGAGTAACGAATACATATGGGTACAGTTTTATTCGTTACTTTTACAGCTCTAATCGGTAAATAATTAAATTAAATTAATGTATTTCGCAGTCCGTTGTAATCTGCGCACAATCGATATGGCGCATGCGCGTTAAAGGGCTGTCAACACTTAGAAATTTAAAATTTTACCTCATTTTTAAACCTTCTCTATTTTAAAATATTTGTCAAATAAAATGAACGTTTGCATGTAACCTAACTTGAAACTTGGCTGTGTCGGTCATTTTGTTCCTCCCTGTATATATGTTCTTTATAAAAATATAAACATCACCGACAACAGCTTTACGAAGAGAGACATTAATGTATATAAACAATAGACACGCATGTGCAGAACAGATTGTCAATATTTAAATTAAAATTAAAAAGATCTTAAACCAAGAAGGAGGTCTCCCTCAACACACCCCCTCAATCTGTTGCACATGCTGACTGTCCTAACTTAGACTTCTACCTGCCATTA